GTTAATTTCCAGTTGTGTGGATTTCTAATTATTTTTTACCATTGTTTTTATAGGTTTCTTCCATAAATCCCACTGTATTCGGAATATATTCTGAATGATTTAAATAGTTTTAAGTTTATTCAGATTTGATTTATTATATAATATATGATTTTGATAAAAAAATTCATGGACACTTAAAAAGAAGTTATCTGTTGATGGGTACAGTGTGTGTGTGTGTGTGTGTGTGTGTGTGTGTGTGTGTGTGTGTGTGTGTGTGTTTATTGTAACATAGTTGGGTACAGAGTTGAGTATCAATATTTTTGTGCAATATGTGATACTCTAACCAGAATAATTATATTCAACAATGTACACTCTCATTGCTATTCATAGCTCTTTATCAATTCCTCCCTTTCCCCCCTTCCCACTTCTATTAACCGCAGTTCTCCTTTTGAAAATTCAATGTATTATTGTGACTGTTGTTTCTTTCTTTCTCTCTTTCTTTTTCTTTCTCTCTTTTTTCTTTCCCTCCCTCCCTCCCTCCCCCCCCTTCATGTGTTTATTTTTAAGCTCCCACTATGAGTAAGGACATATGGTATTTCTCTTTCTGTGCCTGGCTTATTTCATTTAACATGATTTTCTCTATGTTCATCCATGTTACTGTGAATGGCAATATTTTATTCTTTTGCACAGCAGAGTAATATTCCTTTGTATATAAACATAACACATTTTCCTTATCCAGTCATCTGACAAAGGACATTTAGATTGCATGTCAATTGTGATAAACTGGTTAATCATTTGTTCAACATTCCTACATACTTGCTAAAATATTTGCTCGATTTTTTCTATTGGTTAGTATAAGGTTTTTAAAAAAATCTCTTGATATATTTATAGATTTCTAAGTTGTTATTTTTTTTCTCAATTTTCATTTTACATATTTTGAAGTAATGATATTATATATACATTAGTTTTATTATATTTTCTGGATGAATTAACCATTTCATCTGTTTGAAAAATCACTCTTTATCCTTATTGGTTATTTTAACCTTAAAATTAACTGTGCTCATATCAGTAGAGCTATATAAGCTTTCTTTTGGTTAATTTTTTTTTGTAGAATACCTTTTACATCCTTCATATGTCTTTACATCAAAGTTGCTTTTAAAACAAAGTCTATAATGATAATCTTTACCTTTTTCTTGGATCATTATACAATTAACATTTAATGTAATTGCTCATATATTTAGGTTTATATTTGCCATCTTCCAATTTGTTTTATTTTATTTATATTTGTTTTGTGGTTATCCTCCTTTCTCGTCTTCTTTTGGAGTAATAAAGCACTTTTTAAATTATTCTATGTTTTCTCTACACCCTGTTATATATTATCTTACTATTTTTAATAGCTACTTTGGAGATTAAAATAGGCATCTCACTTATATTTAATATAAATTTGCACTTCTAATTTTTTTTTCAGCAGTGCAAAGCCTTAGAACCTTACTATTCAAAGTAAGAGTTCTTTAATGAGCAGTCTTACTTTCACTGTGAGCTAGGTAGATATGCAAATGCTCGAGCCTGCCTCAGACACAATAAATTAGAATCTGAATTTTCAACATTACCCCCCAAAATTCAGTTGCCCCTGAAGTTTGAGAAATATTCTCTTAACCACTTTAACTTCATTATCATCTGCCTTTATTACTTGTCTTTGCGTTATTGATTCTACTTTAGAGATTCCTGGTGAAATTCCTCATTTTTTCATCTATCAACTTAATTCACTTTTTTTTTTTTTTTTTTTTTTTGCCTTTTTCCTGACCGGTAAGGGGATCACAACCCTTGGCTTGGTGTTGCCCGCACCACGCTCAGCCAGTGAGCACACCGGCCAGTCCTATATAGGATCGGAACCAGCGGCGGGAGCGTCACTGGGCTCCCAGCGCCACACTCTCCCGAGTGCGCCACGGGCCGGCCCTTAATGTCAATTTCTGATACCTCTAATGTCTGGGTGTGGGATGTTGTCCCCTCTCCCCATATTTTTCTTAATAGTCTTCCTACTAAGTGTTTTTATTTTTGTTTTGTTTTGTTTTGATTTTTGAATGCCAACAGCGTTTGGGACAATTTGTAGATGCTTTGAATGATGTCATCTTCCTATAGAGATGATTGACCTCTCTTCTAGCAGGCATTATAATAGCAGATCTCTACAACGTTTTCAGGGACTTTGCTGATCCAAGGCTGGTTTAAAGTTTGTATAAGTCTTGACTTACCTTTGGTTCATCCCCCTCTTGAAATTCCAGCAAAGAGCCTGAGGAGTCTCTCTGGCATGTCCTGAATTCCAGTGCTTTGTCTCATCTGTACCATGAAACTGATCAAAGCTCTATGCTGCTTTTCAGACAGTTTTGTCATAAATGATTGGAGAGTAAATGTGATGCTGAATGATTCTCACTTATTTTTGCTTTCTTTATCTCTGGAACCTCAGAATCTCAAATTTGGCTTTCTCAAATTCCAGAGGTCTGAAATTTTAAATTTTATCTCTCTAGCTCTTTTCTGATGTCCTAAAATGTTATTGGATTTTAATAGCCACCCCTTTTATGGCTTATTGGACAAATTGTACCCATACACCAACCCAAGAACCAGCAAGTACCACAAACAGAACAACAACATGCAAAAAAATGAATTCACATGACTGAGTTTTCCTTCTCTCCAGCAATGTGTCCCCTCTAGTTCTAGTTGTGTAATCACCTCTTCAGATCCTTCAAATAGGTTACGATCATCATTACCATCATTATTGTTATTGTTCAATTCATGTTTTTAGATTGTTCTTTGCTAGAATGTTGGTCTTTCATAAGTCTTTTCATATAGCCTAAAGCAGAAGTTAGCCTATCATTTCTTTTTGTAAAGCTTCCAATGTTATTAAAAGCAACTGCCCAACCCTGTGGTCTATATAGTCTATATATTTATCACTTTTCTGATACAGATATTGAAATTAACTACAGGTTCAAACTTTAGTAATTGAACTGTAATCACATATGATTTAATATCAGACCACTTACCACCAGCAAGGTGGCCCTTAATGCCTTCAAATAAGTGTGCAATCTAACACCAAAATCCTATCTTAAGGTTGGGGGAGACTTCAAGGTAACAAGAGTGAGAGAAGAAAGGAAATGAAATACCAGAAATGGATTTAAAATTATTCATAACTGAACTGGCCTCGTTTTCCAAATGAAACACAATCACCAGATAAAACAGGAACTCTTATTAGATACACTGTGTGAAACTACCACCTCTTAGAGGATGAAGTGGGAGTTCTTTGCCTGTTCCATTCTCTTTTATGTTGTATTGTACCTACATCCCCCAGTGACAATTAACACTATATTTCTGTGTCATGATACTGACACTTTCTGGCACCATCCAGAACATCTTGCTTGGGTTTGATCAATCTAAGGCATCTTCCAATTACAGACTCTAGAAAAAGCATGGTTAAGTCTTCAAATCTTTGGGAGCTGGAAAAGCCAGTTAGCAGTGGTATCTGGGTTTCTCCTTTGAGGAAGAGTTGAGGCCTGGGGAGTGGGAGAGACTAATGACCTCTGAAAAGCTTCATAAACTGGATCTGGTAGAGGGCACAGCTGAAATTACTCATCTGAGATTACTCATCAGCAAATTAATGATAAATAAAAAGACTCCTATCATGCTCTGGCCACAAGTTCTCACCTTTAATCTAAGGTCCACTAGCTGTAGCTGTAGTCTTTCTTTTTTTCTTTCTTCCTTTCCTCTCTCCCTCCCTTCCTTCCTCCCTTCCTTCCTTCCTTCCTTCCTTCCCCTTCTCTCCTAACTTCTCCTTGATAGTTTCTGTAGTGGACTGAATTATGTTCCCCCAAAACTCATGAAGCTTCAGTTGTGTCCCCCAGGTTTTATATATTAGAAACTTGGTCCCCACTGTGACTATTAAGACAGTGGGAAGTTGAAATCCTATTATGGTAATTGAAAGGTGGAGCCTTAAACAGGTGATTGGATTGTAGGTCTGTGCAGTATTGAACGGATTAAAAGTAGTGGTCAGGGGCATGGTTCTGAGGACTTTAAAGAAAGAGGAGAGTCTACCTGTCTCTCTCTCTGCTTCCACAATCTTGCAATGTGAGATGCCTGGTTCACTGTTGGCCACCACCAGATGGACTTTGGACTTCCCAGGCTCAGAAATTGTAAGCAATAAATTTCCTTTTCTTTATAAATCACCCAGTTCTGCATATTTTGTTACAAGCAACAGAAATGGACTAATACAGTTTCTCTATGTTTCCTCTTTATTTTCCTAAGACTGACTCTTTGTATCATTCATTCCCTAGCATGAATCACTTGTAAGGCCTTTGCCAATATTTTTATCTAAAATATCCCTTTCCCCGTCCTGCCAACCTGGTACTTTTGTACCTTTTCTCTACATTATTTTTTTTATAACCTTTATCATATCTGAAAACTATTAAATATATGTGTTTTGTGTATATGTGTGCATGTGTGTGTGTGTTAACTTCTTATTGTCTTTCTCTTCTACTACAATATAAATGTATCATGGCAAGAATTTTTCCTTTCTTTTTATTCTTTTATCTCCAGAACCAAGAGCAGAGCCTGGACATATAAGGAAAGTAAAAGTTGTGACTGTGACACTGTATATAAATGAGGTTTACCAAATCCAATTGATTATCACTGAAATAGCTATGAGTTTCATCCCATCAACAGGTAAAATTTAAATATATATATAAAATTTATATATATATATATATATTTCAGAATCAATTAGTAAGTAGATGATTTAAATCAAATTAAGTGTGCAAGCAACTTTACCATGGAGGGATGGGGGAGGGTTTGCAGATGGAAATTAAATCTAACCAACACGTTTATTAAGTGTATATTCCCCATTTTAGCAATTATAGAAGAGCTTCAAACATTCTCCACCTGAATTCCTTCTTTCTAGCCCAGCTCTCTTGTTGATATGCAACTCAGCCAGAGAAGACTTAATAATTTTCATGAGATGTTATCATCAGATTTTTTGATTGTATAATTATCTCCTTAGTGATTAAGAATTGTTTAGAATTAAATAGAGTGATGAAATAAATCAAATTCATAAACCCCTTATAGGCATATCTGTATTTAAAGTTTATCAACATATTATCTGTATGTATGTATGTATATATATATAAAAAATAAGATAAAATAAACAAAAATTAAGATATATATATATATATAGGTTAGATATATATATATATATATATATCTTAATTTTAGAGGAAATTAATTGTGATTTGACATGCCACATACGATCTTTTTTTAAACCTCCATGTAAATTGACATTAGTGAAAGGGAAAAATAAATGTGTTAGGAACTAAACTGTTTAGAACAAGTGTGAAATGCTTATCCGAATTAGGCCTAGTCTCAGAGTCAACTGCAGAGGTCGTTACTTTTAGTTCTTTTTCTAATTGATAAGCCATTCAGTTATGTGACATCTTTACTTATGTTCTACAATGACCATATTTGAATTGAGGATCTAGTCGCATATTTTCCTGAAGAGAATGGATCACTCAATTCTAGATGTGAGATTTAAAACCTCATGTCAATAAAACACCTTTGCATATTTAAGAATTATAAAATAATTACTTTTTTCTTATTCATAAGTATTGAATTATTCTTGTTTATAGTCAACTCTATTGTTTCTGTAGTCATGGATACTTTAGAATATTTCCTGTGCTACATTTCATTTTTTAAAATCATGTTTTTCATTTGCATTACCATGCTGTCATAGTTTGTTCTGTGCCCTGCAAGCAAATATTCCAGCACTTTCAGTAAGAATTAGAATACAACCAAAACTTAATTTGAAAAAAATTGTTCTTCCAACAAATTATTTTAGAGTGATTTCAATATAAAGTAATTTAGGAGAGTTGTTCAGCATTAAAGTACCCAACCCACACATTTGACAAGAAGAAGGATACATACAGATTACATATCAATTTAAAAAAAAACTTGGCATTTAAATATTAAACATTATAGTGTTACCAAAACCCCAAAGGTCTGTTTGCTCACCACTCAATAGCCAATAATTGAGAAACAAGTGTTGGTTTAAGGAAAGGTAGCCTTTAATCAGGACGCCAGCAGCCTGGTGAAATGGTGGATTCATGTCTCAAAGACCATCTCCACTTTTCCCAGACTTGCCAAAGGGTTTTATAGGGACAGGTGGTAGGGGGATGATCCGTGCTGATCTAAGCAGGAACGTGTAGGCATAATCATAAAATTGCAGATAAACATCAAAGAACTTCTTGGGTGCGAGGCTGATTCACAGTGACCATCCTCCATGAAGTCAAGGCACGGATTCAGTTCCTGTTAACCTCAGAAAAATCTAGTTTGTAAGCTAATAAAGAATGGCCACCTGGGTCAATAATTTCTTCTATCATTATTCTGTGTACAGTGTGAGCAAAAGTCATTATGTTTTAGCTACCATGTGAACAAGAATCATTGTATCCTAATGTCCAGCTACAAGCTATGTGGGTTGGGTTACAAGTATAAGAAAAAAAAAAACTTTTTAATTTAGAAGTTTAACAAAATGGAGTCACTTCTGTTCTGCCTGCTACAATAGCATTTTTATCAAAGTGTTATAGGGAGGGTACCATACTGTAGGAGAAAAACACCAGGCTTAAGTCAGAAGTTCCTAGGGAGAGTCTGGGGTCACCCACAAACAAACTTTGTGTCTAGGTGTGGCCCCCCAGCATAAATCCACATCTCAAAAATGGGGATAATGACTGCCTTATATACCCTCAGAGTGTGAAATCTGGGGTTGAGCTGGCTGAATATAAATTTAGGTGTCTTTTGATGAGTGTGAACGAAGGCAATCAAACTTCTCTGGGCCCCCATCTCCACTCCCCGACTTGTGAGGTCGTTATGAAGATTAAATGAGCAGTGTGTGTGTGAAGTACTTTGCACAGGGCCTAGCACTGAGTCAACACTTTGAAACGGTACATATTGTTTTATTTTTCAGATATTTATTTGGATTGGCAAAGATGCCAATGAAGTTGAAAAATCAGAATCTCTGAAATCTGGTAAGCTTTATATTATCCCATGGACAATTATGGCAGTAACCAGGCATGGTTATTACCTGACTACTCCTTTTCTACCACATCTTCCAAAAATACATATCAAAATCGAAAGCTTAGCTTTCATCCTCAGCACTAAAGACTCATGGAATTTTTTAAAACTAAAGAATTGCAAAATGGGCACATGACAAATATGTTTTGTTACTATAGGTAAGTTCAAAATTTTCCCCTGAAGTTTTGATAATTTGAGTCTGTAAAAGAAAACTAATAAAAAGATAAATTAACAGGAGGAAAAGCATAACAAATTTTATTATGTGCACACCTGTGCAAGAGAATCATACAAACCATAAAAAAATTTAAAGGGCCACATGGCTGAAGTTTTTATATCATCCTGAAGTTACAGAAAGGATAAGGGCTTGGAGCAAAGCAAGACAGGTTATGGGAAGGAAGGGAGGAAAGCCCCAGTTAGCAAAGGGGTCTTGTTATGCAGGTGAAACCTCACTGGTAGCAGCTCTCAGAAAGAATAGATAGCAACAGTTTTTCTGACAGATGTTCAAAGGCGTCAGACTCTAGTCTCTCTCTCCTGTGTGTTAATCTTTCCTAGATCCAGTGTAAGGGACCTCAGAGGAAACTTATTGTTTATTTCACCAATGCAGATTTTCTCCACAAATGCAAGTCTCCCTCACAATAGACAGCTCTTTAGCTATTCTTGTGTTTCCAGCCCCTCTGAATAGCCATCTTAAAGTATGTCAAAGTATATTTTGGGCTAAAATATTTTGGTTTTCCTTATTACTTAGTTTAGAATATAATTGTATTAATTTATTCTGAAAAGTTTAAATTCACTTAAACCCTTATTCTATTATGAGAATAGTAAAACTTCCATAACTCTGATACCTAGACTTTTTTAAACTTCCTTTTGAGTAATGCCGGGGTTTTTTCTGGCACAATTTTATTTTTATTGAACAATTGTGCCATAAGGATAATTCCATAAAACTTGGAGTTCTTTCAGGCACCAATGATACTCTCATGGTGCTTTCCATGGCAGATGAAAGAAACTGATAAAAAATTGTTCATACCTGGCTACTTGGGGGCAATGAAAATTTAATTTATTACTTTTATTGAAAGAATTTTCATTCTATAGTTATTTTAGTTTAACCAAAATGAACTGAATTTATATGTCTTTTCAACTCTTTTTTTAGCCAAAATGTATCTTGAGACAGACCCTTCTGGAAGAGATAAGAGGACTCCAATTGTCGTTATAAAACAGGGCCATGAGCCGCCTACATTCACAGGCTGGTTCTTGGGCTGGGATTCCAGCAAGTGGTAAATGGGTTTTTGTAAAAAACAAACATTATAGGGCAGCTGTCTGAGCTGTCCCATTATTGTTTGGGGGGGCAGGGGATCTTTTTGTTTGTTTGGCTTTAGAAAATTAACATCAGCCAAATGGCTATATTTAATATCTGATATTGGTTTGAAATTCTTTGAAACTGGAATTTTTTTATGTTAATATATTAAAATAACCTAAAGTGAGATTTTGTTATGGACAATATAGCTCTTCTGGAAACTGATTTATATCTTTTTATATGATCTTTTGAAAGTAAAAAGCTGTGCACAATCTAGGGGAATTTGTCAAGTAGGAAATTTTATAATTCAGTAGCCATTAGCCAAACTCGTTTTTTAATATTCCAGAGAAGAAAGCTGTAATGTCTTGGAGGTTATTCTCTTTTCCATGTACTGTGTTCAAAAAAATTGTATATTTGCAGTAAGGTTTATGTCAAGATGGCTTTAACAATTTGTCATTATTTTCCTTCTTTTGTCAATATGACTTCAATGCCATTAACTCCTAAGTATCATTTCTAAGAGGAACTTTATCCTTTTTGCCTCTTTAGAAGCCATTGAAAACACAGTTCTTTGTATTCTTATTTACTTCGATATGTGTATTTGACAGTACATGTTTAATGTTACAAAAGATATGTACAGAAAAACTTCACTAATGCAGTCTTTCACCATTAAAATACATCTTTTTGAAAAGGTTTTGTGTTGTGACGTTTTATTCAAATTTGATATGAGTTAATTTTATACTATTGATTTTAAGGTTAATACTTTTATGCAAAAATAGATATGAGTTGAATACTTCTTACTTCATCCTCATTAAGTTAAAATTAAACAGGTTTTCCATGTGTTACCGAGACCCCAAAGGGCGTTTTGCTCGCCTCTCAATAGCCAATAATTGAAAGACAAGTGTTGGTGTGAGGAAAGGCAGCCTTTAATCAGGACGCTGGCAGCCTAGGAAAATGGTGGACTCGTGTCTCAAATACCATCTATGCCTCCCTCTCCCCGGTTTGCCAAAAGGTTTTATAGGGGTCTGTGGTGGAAAGTTGACTCACGGTGACTAAGCAGAGATGTGCAGACATGCTTGAGTGTTTCAGATGATTGTCAAGGAACTTCCCGGTGGGAGCTGACCAGTGTAATACTTCATTCTCCGTGGGTTCAGTTCCTGTTATTCTCAAATAAGATCAGGTTAGTAAGCTAGTAAAGAATGGCCATCTGGGTTCATAATTTTCCCTCTAATTATTTGTGTACAATGTGAGAATGAGAGTCATGGTGTTCTGGCAATAAACTGCATGCTATGTGGTTTGGGTTATAGGAGAGAATAAGTTTTCAAATTCAAAATCTTAACAAAATGGAGTCACTTCTGTCCAGGCTGTTACACATGGGTAGATAATTATGAAAGATTTAAAATACACAGTGTGTGAAAAACATGCCTCCAGAAAACAGGAGTTGGGACAGAATCTAGTAAAGTAGAAACCAACTTTGGTAGTGGGGTAAGGGGGTGGCTGGTTGAGGAGGGGAAGCTACACTTCCATCGAAGGGGAAAACGAAGGGGGAAGCAATCTGAGGAATTCTCACCTTCTCTCTGGGGGAATGAAGGGCATATGTGTTTCAAATTGGGTCCTGCATGGGGAAGTGGGCTGAGTTCTGTTATGGACTAGTGGTGACGGTCTTGTCAGGTCCTGGGGCTTGAGTGGGTGGTAAGGAGTAGAGAGACGCTGCACTTCCAGACACTGCTCGTTTAGTAAATATTTATTAGGCATCTACTAAGTGTCAGGCAGTATTCTAGGCACTTTGAATTCAACATGAATGAAGCAGATAAAATTCCCATTTTTAGGGATTTTATATTCCAGGGAATGGGCCAGGAAAAACAAAATTAATAAGTACATATATTATAAAATACATTAGAAGGTAAGTTCTACAGAGGAGAAAATATAAAGAGGGAGAACAAAGAATACTAGTTGAAAAGTGGGGCTGTGTGCATCTTAATAGGGTGGCCAGGGGAGGCCTTGTTGAGTAGGTGACATTTAAACACCCAGGCAGAAGGAGTACTAAGTACGAAGGCCTTCAGGGGGAGCATGCCTGATATAATGGGCTGAGTCTAAAGAAAGAAGATTCTGTAGGGTTCTCTCCCTCTCTCACCACTGGACTAGAAAAAAAAATCCATCCTAAGCAGATCAGCATGGAGGGAAAAAAAAAAACCATCAAAAGTGCTAATTAGAAATAAGTAATCTAAGGGCCGGCCCATGGCTCACTTGGGAGAGTGTGGTGCTGACAACACCAAGTCAAGGGTGTCAGGATTTTCTTACTGGTAATCTTTAAAAAAAAAAAGAAAGAAAGAAATAAGTAATCTAGTAAGATGTAGCACATCTCAGGAATTTCAAATAAGGAACCAGATTATGGCATTAACTTTGAGCAAAAGACCAGGAAACAAGGTACCTATGTAAAGTAAACCATTGTTTTGTGGTCTTACGTACTGTTTTACTTTTCAAGATGATCAAATAATTGGCTTCAAAATAATTTCTGGATTTGACAGTTTATTCTGAGGGATGGAATTCTAGTCAAAATGAATAAAGGAATATTAGTATTCACTAATTATATAGGATTGAGTGTGTTATAATTAAAAAAAAAATGTATTTTCAAAACTTTTTTCTTGCTCTATCTTAGTTTCTCTCCATTATGACTTCTTTTTTTAGTTTTAAAGACTTACATTAGATATTTTTTAAGTATATTATGTATTACACATATTTTCTAAAATAACTTTCTCTCTTAAATACCAAATTCTTACTCTGTTACCTAAAATGTTAGTGATGTATTATATTAAACACTTCAGTGCTGAAAGAAGAAAGAAGTTTGAATCCACATCTTACTATGTATGTCTGGATAAATTCCATATAGTTCAAACGTTTAAATGTAAAAATGAAACTATAAAAATAATGGAAGAAAACATGGAATTACATTGGAATAGGGAAATCATCTGTCAGCAGATAATAGAATAAGAAGAAAATTAGCAAAGATCTAGAAGATGTGAAGAACACTCTCAACCACCTTAACCTAATTGATGTTTGCTGAACACTCCATCAATAACAGCAGCTTGTGTATTGTTTTTTTAAGGGAACTTAAAATATTCACCAAAGTAGAAAATATTCTGGACCATAAAAACAAATGCCAATAAAAGATAAAATCATACAAACTATGTTCTCTAGTCATAATGGAATTAATTGAGAAATCAATAACAGAAATATCTGCCAAATCCCCAAATATTTGGGTAAAAGAAGAAATCACAAGAGAAATTAGAAAATAGTTTTATCTCAACGAAAATTATAACACAGCCTATCTAAGTTTGTGGGATATAGCTAACTTACTGCTCAAAAGGAAATTTATAGCATTAAATACTTCATTAGATAAATAGAAAGGCCTCAAATCATTGATCTAAGCTTTCATTTTAAGAAATTAGAACATAAGCAAATTAATCCCAAAGTAAGCAGAAAGAAGAGAATGATAAAGAACAGAAAATTTGTAAAAATAGAGAAAATTAATGAAATAAAAAACTGGTTCTTCTAAATGAATAAAATGATAAAAATTCTAGCCAGACTAATACAGAAAAAGGGAGAAAACATAAATTAATAACATCAGGAATGAAAGAAGAGTATCACCACAGATCCTATGGACATTAAAAAAAGAAGAAACATAATTTTATGCCAAAAAATTTAACATTCATGAAATGGACAAATTCCTTGGGAGACAGGAACTACTAAAGCTAACCCAAGAGGAAACAGACATATAACCTAAGTAGCAATGCACACATACATTAAAGAAATTTAGTTCAGGGCCGGCCCCATGACTCTCTTGGGAGAGTGCGGTGCTGGTAGTGCTGAGGCCATGGGTTCGGATCCTATATAGGGATGGCCGGTGTGCTCACTGGCTGAGTGTGGTGCAGACAACATCATGCCGAGGGTTGTGATCCCCTTACCGGTCAAAAAAAAAAAAAAAGGAAATTTAATTCATAGTTAGACATGTTCTTTCAGAAAAGTCTGGGCCTAATTGGACTTCACATGTAATTTTCTATCAAACATTTAAGAAAATAATAAAACCAGTATTCCTAATAACATAGATGTAGAAATCTTAAAATTTATCAAATTGAATCCAGCAATATATAAAAGTCAAATGGGTTTGATTCCAGGAATTTATTTTAATATTTAAAAATTAATTAATAATTCTCCATTTTAACTGACAAAATGGGAAAACCAAACGAATATCTGAATAGACACAGAAAATCATTTGATAAAATTCAACAATCATTCGTATAAAAACTATTAGCAAACTAGGAATAGAATGTAAGTTTCTTCATCTTAAAAGTGTTATCTGCAGAAAATGTGTAGCTGACAGAAAACTAAATGTTTCACAGTAAGATCTGAAACAAAATACAAATGTTTGTTCTCATCTCTTCTATTCCATATTTTGCTGGAGGTCCTAGCCAGTCTAATAAAGCAGGGTTTCTCAACCTTGGCATGATTGACATTTTGATAATTCTTTGTTTCTTTTTTGGGGTGGGCTGTCCTGTGCACTATAGGATATTTAAGTAGCATTTCTGGCCTCTGCTTACTCATTACCAGTGGCACCCTCTTTGCTTCATTCCCAGCTGTAAGAATCAAGAATGTCTCCAGACATTTCCAAATAGCCCTTGGGGAAGAAGGAATCAAAATAGTCCCCTGTGTCAACCCACTTCAATAACGCAAGAAAAAGAACTAAAAGCCCCAAAGACTGGAGAGTGTGAGAAAGGCCATCACCCATCCAGTGCCAAAGAGTGGACATAGAGACACTAGGTACAGTAAAGCAAGACTTTAATGGCGGTCTTGCAAGATTGGGTGTCTGATGGGCAGGCATGCATAAAACGGTTACATTGAGCAATTTATTCCCTAGTGAGCAAGTCCCTCCCCCAGTTCCTCATTGGCTGAGTACTGTAAGGTGTACGATCTTCCTGGACATCATCTAAGTTTCATTACTTCCTTATAAGGTATTTATTGTTCACTTCCTGCTGGTGGAAAGGGATGGACTCAAGCCAAGCCCACGAAAAAAGCCTGCCAAAAAGTCCTGAGCAGGGAGAAGAACCAGGAAATAAAAAGAACAATGGGCTGGTGACCAGCCACCATCTTGAGAAGTTATTTCTCAAAGGTGACGTGCTGTTTCAGTGACTTTCCAGGAATGTGCATTATCTGGAGTTGTCATACCTACGAGCTGGTTAAGCAGCTTTTGTTTAGGCTATTCTTGAAAATGAATCACTTAAGCTATTTTCCTACAAATTGAAAGGATGAAGTAAATAATCTTGGTAAAGTGATCTGGGTGTTAGTAGTCAATTTATTTTTTTATTTTAAAAAATTTTTTTTCAGGTCAGAGGCCACCATACCATTTATTTCTTTTTGAAATTCCAAAACTTTACATAAGAATAATAACTGTCAGTTACTGAACACATGCCACATGTTGACATTACTTTTATGTGCTTTACAGAAAGTGTTTCATAGAAATATCACAACAACCCTATAATATTGGTATTAGTATTAGTACTCCATCTCACAGATGCAACAAGTGGCAAGTAGCACAGCCAAGAAATAAATGCAAATCTTTCTCATATTCATAGGAGTAAATCCATGCTCCTGAAAATTTCCTTAGTCTATCTCTATATGCCCATTCCTCGTAAAGAG